TATGGAATACAAATTTTTTCGTTAAGCTGCTTTTTTAAGTTAGCATTTAACTAACAAATTTCGATTGCAATCGACTTATTCGTACGTGTGACGTTGACGTGTATGATAGCTGAATTCAAAATTATCAGCTCAAGCATGCACAAGGAATATTCCTGCAAAATTCCAATTTCCTATCTTATCTTATCCGTGCAAGCGCAAAATGAGCTTTGACGCAGTACATTTTTTTTAGGTATTCGTAAGTGAACAGTAATTTCAAAATGGGAGGGTCGTATATGGGGCAAGAGCATGATCCAAACTGACAGCCTCCTAACTTCTCTGGCTGCTTAGTTGAAAGCGGGTGACAAGATGTGAGTACACGCATACAAGCACATAACACAAACATGCACACAACACACACACACACACCCATACACAACCTCTTGCTAATAGGATTTTTATATTCGCATAAATATGCAAAAATACACAAGATCTGAAAAAAATTAGAAAAAAATGAACATGGGAATTTGTTTCAGAGACTTTGACCTTCTGTTCCTGATGTCATATGACCTGCACGGCCCTTGGGAGGGTAACGTCGATCTGCACGGGAAGCTACACTCAACAAAAGGAGAAGTTGTCGGCGCTGGCATCTACAACACTGTAATTTTTTGCACTGATTTATATGGCTTTGGAGTTTGGGCATATTGATTGTAAAGTTTGACATCGAATTTGCAGCATCCAGCTAATATCAATCAATGACAACCAAACACATAGGGTTTTAAGTGGAGTGTGAACAAGCTTGTAAATAGAATCGATATTCCGATTTCGTAAGTTAAGCAAATCCTGGGTGTAATGCACCAGACTTGGTGGTGCGATCATGCGTTTTTGCACTAAACTTGCGGATCGCTGATAGCAGGAATGGTTTCTGCGTTGTGTTTGGCCTCTTCCTGCATGCATGGGGAAGGGCGCCAGCTGGATGAAAGTACTGCATTGTGGGGCCGTATGGACGGACGTCCAATGTGCATGATTATCAGTTTGTTGCATGAAGTTGGGACGTTTTTCCAGTGAATGCTTGTTCACTGAAAAAATGCAACTTTGAAGGAAGTCGGAAGAGGATTACGAAATCTTCAAAAAGCACTCGCCTTTGAGTTTGCAGTAAAATTAAATATTTTGTCACGTATGCGTACAGGGAATTTCACCTCCAAATTAAATTATGGCCATACACGGCTTGAGAAGTCTCTGCAAATTATCAGCGTCGCAGATTGTCTGGTAAGCGAAATACCCATTTGAAGAGCCCCAAGTCGTTGCGTAAATGGAAATCGAAACTTAATTTAAGCATACAATTTTCTATATAAACAATATATATTCTGACAAAATTTCAGCTGCTTTTTTCCAGCTAGTTTTCGAGTTGGCACAGTGCCGGCCGTAAACTTCAACGTGATTACACGTGCGGCACGGGCATGCGCGATAGCTGAATTTGGAATCTTTAGCTGTGTGCACAGAGAATATAACAGCAAAGTTTCAGCTTTTTAATTTGTTCACAAAATCGTTCCCTGCCAGAGAAAGTCGCATATCTTTTTCGAGCCAACGTGAGATTTAGCCGCATGGAAGCAAAAAATTTCGAAACAGAAGGATGATACATGGGGCTGGAATAAGACCTCAAAATTTCAGCTTCCTAACCTTGCTGGTGGCTGATTTGGGAGTGGGTGATAAAGTTTACTCGTTAACGACCTTTACAATATGCGTTCTTGCTCACTATAGCAGAGCTATAGCGCTGCACAGCAAAAATGTATAACAAGGAAGAGCCGAAATATCGCTGACATATAAAAGAAGATTAATGGGGTCGCGTATATGAGTTGTGGCGAAATCTCTCAAGGCAAAAATTTTACCCAATCGTGCTCCAGGACTATAATGCCGGGGTTTAGAGTCACATAAATTCTGCTTATTGACTTAGTCTTTTTCCTGGGTCACCAAGGCCACTAGAGGCTCCTTCGAATAATTTATACTTTTCCATCCCTTGCCTATGAGCTACTTTTTCTGAGGAACAGTATATAAACCCAGTGGTTGGGGCGAGTTTGGTCGGCTACTTGCTTACATCCAACCAAACCTATATTGCGGGTGGATGAAGCACATTTATCCAGCAGTTATTCGTATGGTGTCAGTCGTACAGTAGAGGCTTTCGAGGTCGGCCGCCGTCAAGTTAATTTTGTCAGGCGAACACCGTTACAAATGCGCAAAAATATTACTTCAGAAAATTTTCTGAAGTAAAAAAATAGTTTTGAAATTTACTGAGGAAAATTATTATTATGAAAAAAAAATTTCTGGCTTGAAGAGCTCATTACTTTTTACGTAATATTTACTTTTCTAATCACTAGAGATTTAAATTTATTTGGGTAAAGGACCACGTTTGTCAAATTAATTTTTCTTCTTTCAACCGAGCTCGAGAACATAACAATTTGATTCTGCAAGTTTTTTCGACCCCTGTTTCTACGAGTGCTCAGATTCATCAGTTACTTCAAATATACTTTCTGGATAAAATCTGTTGCTTATTGGTAGATTGTTCTGTTCATGTCCTGTTCGATAAATAAAAAATTTGGTTTTTTGCTACGAAATCAACTCTAAATTCTTCCAGGAATTTGCGGCCAAATACTGGGCAGAGAAAGGTATGCCGAAGGAAAAAATCATAATAGGAATCCCAACATACGGCCAAGGATGGACACTGAAAGACCCCTCAAAAACAGCAATTGGATCAGAAGGAAGTGGAAAAAGTGCACCGTCGACGACGAATCCGGACGGTGGAACAGCTTCGTACTGGGAGGCAAGCGCTTTCACGCTATTACCATTGATGCTCAAAGCCGTTGTTGTTGATTTTAATGAATGCGTAGTTATAGATCTGTGATTATTTAAAAGACGGTGGCAAAGAAACAATAGACAAGGAAGGCGTTGGTGCCTACATGGTGAAAGGGAACCAATGGTATGGATACGACACTCCAGAAACTGTTAAAATGAAGGTACGCACAAGAATGGATTGTTACCGTCTCCTTACTCAGATTCCCTTGAAACTTTTTGTTAATCGAAATTACTTTCATGAGCGTTTTATTCTTTGACAAATGTGAAAACACAACAGAAATCCCACAAGTTTTCCTAAAAAAACAGAACCAAATTTTCTCATGTTTCTGCCAGTAATTTTTACTAGCAGTCCCGAAATTTTTTAAAATTATGGGAAAGGGTTTTTGCAGCCTTGTAGCGGAATCCCATGCGTTTTGCGTTTTCCCACTGGCTAAAGACAATTGCAGTTGAGTTCTCAAAGCAATAAAATTTGTGCTAAGATTATGACAGAGGGAGTGACGGAGGGAAAGATGTTTGGAGTATTCTTTTGTGACCAACATAAGCAAGGTACCATTACGACCAAGTGAGAAAGCAAAATTCGATAGATAAGTATTGTCGGTGTTCACGAGTTGGCGTGCGCATTGGCAAATTGTACCCACGAGAAAGTGGACAATCACGATGGAGGCCTGCGAAGGAGTGCACATTTACCGAGCAGGTGCCTTAGCATTAGACTGAGGAATACAGCCCAAGGCTGCGCCTAGACACATCCCAGTAACGTCACTAACATGGGATTTCCAGGACGAT